TAATTCTTGTTGTTTCTGGATATCCTCATGTCAGTGGTTGTGCTCAATTAAACACGTTCTCAGCCTTTACTTTTTCATTTTCATTTCTTTGATGTTTCTTCCCTCCTCCCCCACCCCAATGCCTGGACCATGGATTTCTGTTTTATGTTGACTACACTTGCTTAATCTATTCATTTATTTGAAATGGAGACTTTTCCTTTGGGCTGTCCTTATACACCTTAGACAACAAATCAATTATTTATCTTTGGGACTATTATTTTTCAGAAAAATGTAACACTTGAGACTGAACTAACATCTCCTTTTCAAATTAGTGTGGTTAGGTTGAAAATCAAAACGTGAGAAAAGAATTTATTGTCAACAACTACAAATACGAGTATCAATATTGTTTTAGTCAGCCAATGGGGGCGTCTTGCTGTATCTCCCCATTACATTTTATACTATAATTAAAAAAGAATTAATGATACCACCCATTGGGGATATTTTTATCTTTTGAAAATGGTTCTTTAATATTTATATATATTACCCCACTTGAAGTTCTGGTTCAATTACAGCAAATGTCATCACTAGCCCATTAAGTCATTTAATATTTTGATTATTTAATAGGTCTAAATCTTGGGGTATATGTTGCCTAAGACATGGGCTGTGCCTTGAAAGAGCTTATACCTTCCTAATGTACATTGATCTTTCAGTGTTGACATTGAATTTTTTATAATTGTGCACTCATACCACCCCTGAATTCGTCAGGAATTCATGGAATCTGCAGTCTCTTTTGTCCTGTTAAATCTAAGTTGTTTTTCAGAATAATGTGAGCATCTTGACTGAAGTAACAGCCCTTGTTGGACTTTGATAGAATTGAAATGTGATCTAAAGGTAGACTATTTTAAAGAAAAAATTGGTGGGAATTTCACAAAGTGTGAGTTTACACCCAATGTGAGTTTTTAAAGAATTAATGTTGCCTTTGAAACCAAAAGAGGACATAATTGCTAATGAAACACACTTGTCCCCCACTTTAAAGTATGAAGCAGTAAAATATCTAAGTAGAATATTGACCTGTCAGTATGCCTTGATTTTTACGTTTGCTAAATCATGTGATAAATTCTGTGTCTCTAAAATTGGAAAAGATGAGAACACATAAATGGGACCAGTCATTGTGAGCTGGTCCTTATGCACGTAGCCCAGTAGACACTGCCACTCAGGTCCTCGCCTCTGGCTCCCTTACCTTGATATTTCTCCTTATACTGTATTACCAGGATTATTTGGGTTTTGATTGTGATATTTACTTGGTTAATCTTTGCTTTTCCCATTTAATGGGAAGTTTTGAAGAAGCAGATGGCTCCTTTTGGATGCACTGAGCTTGTAGCTTTAATATGTATATATGTGGTTGGGTTTCAATGTTTTGCATCCAGTTAAACCAGAAAAGAAATATTTTCCTTTTTAATATCTATGGTGTGCAATTTTTACTTTCTTATGAAGAATTATTTTATATTTGTACTTGACACCTACCATATGTGCAGCTAGTGTGACTGTCCCATTATAGAATGACACTTTTTAATTGCTTTTTCAATATAGAACTTCCTACTGTACATTTAAGTAGCCTCCAGTTTTCATTAAACAGGATGAGAATAGAAAGCTTTCAAACCAAACCGGTTAGTCCAGTCAAAGCACTTAGGTAGTTTAAGCCTTTGATATTCCTGAAGTCAGTTAGGAAGCCAGCATGGCTGGAGGGCTTTCAAGGATAATTTCTTTCTTTTTCCCCTTTAACTAATCACTGTCTGGAGAGGACTGCAAATGATGCCTTTTCTCCTCTTGCAGCTTGGACTTGAAGATGGGCAGGATGTAGGTGAGAAGGTCCCCTTCAGGGAAAGGGGCACCTGAATTTTGCCTGTGTTTCCAACTCAGACTTCCCATCCCTAGTTATAAGGTTTTAGTAAAGTATTGCATTAGTTCCTGTGTTTCTTGATCTTGAACTTTTTGTTTTGCAGTTCTGGTTTTCTCTGATGATGGTAAGCCGTCTGCATCCCCTCTGTCTGACAAATAGCTGCAGGCTCAGAAGCAAATATTTATTGGCTGATGATATTTGATGTGCGCCAGGGATGCCTGTGTGGCCTGGCTGTCAGGGTGTGATGGAAGTTGTAGGTCAGGGGAGCGGTGAGAGGGTTGCATCTTGTCTGTATCCTTTTCAGAGAGAGACATGAAGTCAACAAGCTGTGGTGCGAGATCACTTGGAAGTAGGGAAGAGTAGTTGCCAATGGGGCTGTGAGCATGGCTCCTCTAGAGACTCGGTGTTGGAGCTAAGGCTGCACTAGAAAGCCAAGCCAACTGATTGGAGAGGAAACCTGCAGGTGAGGCATACGTGTTTGTAAAAGCGAGTGCATGGTGAAAAGGACTTGGGCTCAGTGAGTGAAGTCAGTGTCCTTTTTGGAATGACACAAAGAGGAGTGATGGACTATGAATAAAAACAGCAAGACCTGTGGGGAGCAGACTGCTCAGAATCTTGAGGGGTAGGAAAGGAGATTTAATCTGGGCTGTGTGAATAATCTGGCCGATGTGGGGAGACCATATTGGACAAGGCCCTCGGGATCTAGGAGACAAGGGTAGAAAATGTGAAGATGAGAGGTAAGCGTTTGCTGATACAGCCAGGGTGGGCTCCTCTGACATGCATTCTGGAGATATGGTGGGCAGGATTTCTAGGGTGGTGGGATTTTGCTTATTTGAAATCTTACCTACTGATTTTCTTCTCTTGTAACTTCCATGAAGATGTGAATACAAACTGTTTCATTCATGCATTGAATGATTTTTTTTTTTTTTTTGCCAATATCTAGAATAAGACTAGGCTTTAGACACTCAGCATGTGCTTGGTAAATGAAACCATCTGTCTTGATGAGCAGACTTTAGATACATCAGTGCTGCAGGCCATAATATAGGCTCTCAGAGGGCACCATGCATGTGAGATGGCAGGAAGATAAGGGCCGAATCATTCGTTCCAGGATTTCCTTTAGGAATAAGAAGCAGATGCCTAACAGGGCTCAGTCAAGACCCGTGGGCTTTTCTGGTGCTGCTCATCCACCCCGCCCATCCCACAGCTGGCTTAGGTATCAGCTGCCCTGCACTGCCATGGCAACCTGCCCTTGCCCTAAGACTCCACCTCCACTATGAGTGGACTGGCACACCTTTGCCTTCCCCGTAAACCACACACTGTTTCTCCTGCTCAGTTGTGTGCTTGCTGCTGGTTGGTCCTAGTGAATATTTGTTGATTCAGTTACTGAGCATCATCAATCATCTAAAAGGCTACAGTCTAGAGTATGCAAAAGACCTCTACAATGATTATTTTATCCCTCCTTGTAAAGTAGGGCAGGAAGACTTTTTCCCCACTTTGCTCATGAAGGTAAGGCCGAGTGCATTGGTCCGTGGCTTGTTTGTATATTGTAATAATCACACGGTGGTTAAAAAATAAAGGCAACTATAGCAGTCCCACGGAAAGTGATTCTGATTTTGTTGGGTTTTACGTGGGAGAGTGAGAGTAAGAGCGATTCTGTTTAAGATATACATGTGATATTGATGTGTTGCAAATCTGAAGAATCACTGGTCTAGGTCAGTGCTCCTCAAATGTTAACGGGCATGCAAACTGTACTTGCAGACTCAGATTCAGTCAGTGCAGGGGGGAGAGCTATGATTTGTGTGTCTAACAAGCTCCAGAGCGAGGCTGAAGTGCTGGCCTGCAGACCACACTCTCCGTAGGAGGAATATGATCCAGGGCACCCTGATGCCCAGAGAAGATGGTAGCGCCTGAGCCCAAAGGCAAGGGTGCATAGTGGTTGCAGTATCAGGTACAACACGCACTATGCCGTGAACTTGGAAGGCAAAATTGTGCTAGGGAAGACTTTCCAGGGTTCCCTCCTCCTCGCCTGAGCAAGAGTATCCCTTTGTAATAGTGCAGCTCATTGGATTCCTCAGACCCCTAATTAGGGATAATGACTCACTCTGTCATTGGCCATCCCTATTTTATTTATAATTTATGAAATCAAGAGGAAAGCCTTGCTATGAACACTTGAGAGTATGTGTGTGTGTGTATGCATTATTGTTCAGGTGTTGTTGAGTGATGACCAGGCACAGGCAAGCAGGATATCCTAAACAGTCCTGCTGCGACACACATCAAAATTGGCAGCCTTGCTGAGCGTGCAGCAGGTAGTAGAGTATGTGCTTACCATATGTAACGCCATGGGTTCGATCCCCAGTACCACCAAAAGGAAAGAAATCCATAGCCTCTTTGCAAAGAGCTGTGCTTCAGGATCTAGAGTGGTTTTCGACTTAAGAGCGCTCACTTTGCCATCTGTAAAATGGGAGTGATGATGGTACAAAAAAAAAAATGAAATGAGAGCTACAAAGTACAAGGTAGGATAAAAATATAAGATTTTTAAAAAATATTATAGTAAGAGACACATTGCCACGAATCCCCTCATAGTACTGCCCCTTCCTTGCAACACAATTATTTCATCATTCTTGAAGCTTTCAGAACCAGTACTGGAAGGGTTCTTTCATTAGAATCTTTTGTTGAGCTCTTGTGGCTGCCTTGATGTAATGAGTTGATTCAAAACATTTATCTTTCATTTTATTTTGACTTTGACAAGACCCACAGGGCCAGATCCAGTGGGAAAAGTGGAGGAGGAGATGCTGTCAGGGTTTTGACAGAAATCGAGGCAAACAATTTTAAACTTAGGAAAAAGACACCTGTGTAAGAGAACTTGGGAACTGCTTCAGAAAGGATGATGGGACAAGTATGTTCCAAGCAAGAGCAGGTGTTTTGAAGAAAATTAATGGATTGTGTCATTTACTGTAATAATGGTCCTAAAAAATTTAACATCCATGGAATATTTTGATCATACGTCATGTTTTGCATAATGCCCACCCCCAGAAAATGGTTAATGCATGTTTGCAAGAAATCAACCCAGGAAAAAGGCTGCATGGAATCATGAATGCATTCTTTGTGTTTGACTTTCTAGTCAGGTCTCATCAGGACACACAAAAGTGAATTCCTCATCTCACCGTTACCTCAGCGGTTGGCCCAAGAACACAACTACAGCACCCCTGCGGGCCACCACCCCCATATCCTGTACAAGAGGACAGCAGAGGAGAAGGTCCAGCGGTACAGTGGCTACCCTGGTGCCAGCCGGACTTACCCTGGTCACTCCCCAAGTCACTCTCCCCCCGCATCCCAGAGTGCAGAGACAGAATTCCACCACCGAAGGTGGCAAAAGCAGCATTTTTGTGGACAACGCAAGAAATGTATGTAAGGAAACATTTTCTCATTCTGTTCTTAAATGGGCTTCGGTGTGCTTTTCTGAGCGCTGTTGGGTGTGCTACTTTGCAGGTTAAAGTGGGATTATTCTTGGCACTCACTGCAGGGTAGTTCTGGAGAAGACCTAGTAGTTGTTCTTGCCAGAGAAAAGATGACCAGGAAAGATTTAGATAGTTTCTCTTTTTGTTCTTGCAGCATCTCTGATTTTTAGCCCCAAGTCTGAGTCTTATCTTGGTTTCTGTGCTCTTGGGGGAAGCATGAAGACTTCCAAAGATGAAATAAATCAGAGGCAAATGTCCAGGAGCGGTTGGGTATTCTTTGGGGCACATAAAGAAGAGGCTTCCTAGGAACTGAGGGCTTGGATCATGAGGACAGGTAGCAATGGAAAACTGGGACCCTCGGGCAGGTTTTGTGATCCATGTACAACTTTTAGCATCCTCCAGACCGGCAATGTCCAACAGAAATATAAAGCAAACTCCATTACTATGTTAGATTTTCTGCACATTTTTAAATTTCTAAAAGTTAAACTTTTATAACATTTAACTCAATGCATACAAAATGTTATCTGAACATAAAATGAATATAACAAATTGCTAATGAGAGATTGTAGTCTCTGTATATTTACATTTTAGAAAGCTGGTACTTATTTTATTCTTGTGGCTCAATTTCAATTCAGGTGATACATTTTTTATCAGAAATGCTTCATCTGTGTATCTAGATTTCATAAGATTTAAAGTTGAAAGGTAGATTAACATACTCCAGTTGTCCCAAAGATATTTCCACCTGAGTAACTAGTTTGAAGATAACAACACACAGTGTATTAACTACTGTTAGTCTCCTATTATTTTATTAAGTTTTGTGTTATTTTTGCCATAAAAAGAGATACTTCAAGTTTTTCAGTATCTGAATCAAGTGTTGCATTTTTAAAATTTAACTTATGGAATGCAGAATTCAATTCACCTGTCTCACCAGACTACAGTCAATGGCTCAGTAGCCATCACGGCAAATGCTACTGGACTGGATAGCCCAGCCAAAAGAGAATTCCCTCCTAGAGCTGAGGCTTTGACATCACCAGGATGTAAATCAGGGGCAGTAGTAGAGACAGTATGTCTGTCATTGAAACTTTTTTTTGGTGGTATTGAAATATTCTCATGAAAAACATCCATTTAACGCCTACTATAGCACTTGCCTGTAATAGTGGAATTAATGCTGGCAGTGATATTTATAGGGCTAGTGATATACATTTGATATGAGACATCAGACTTTAAGGCAATCTTACGAGTATTACACTTTCTTATAGAAGAGGCAACTAAGATCCAGAATCATATTGGAACCTGTGGTGACCTTAAGCTTTTAAATTAAACCTGGGCGATAATTTCATTCTGTGATGAGCTAACATTACTGTTTAAGCTGTGTTAGCTATTTCTGTACTTGTTCAGGGCAGTCCTGAGCTTTCTAGATGGTCTTTTGTCTCCAAGGCACCCCTCAATTGTTGCTGCCCATTCACTAAAGGTGTCACTGCTGTCAGAAAAAAGGATAAAGGAGCTTGCAGATCACTGCTCAAAAGCTCCGGCCAGCATCCACTCTGTGGAGCTGGTGCCCATGTCTTACCGTTTGTGGAAAGCGTTTGATATTGCTTCAGTGTCAGCCTGACGTTGCTATTTCTCTAAGTCAGTATCAGTTTGAAGAGTCTTTATTGACGACTTACTATGTGCTGTGTTTAAGTCTGTGTTGATGACACGAGAGTATAAGGCATGGGCAGTGTTTCATAGTTCACGTTTTATCCAGAACGTAACATATGTAAAGCATTACCATGTTTTCCCAGTTCTCTGGGAGACTTGAGGCAAGAGGATTGCAAGTTTGAGCTCAGCCTGGCAATTCAGGTACTTAACAAGATCCTGTCTGGAAAAAAACCTCCCCCTAAAAACAAACAAAAAACCAGGCATGGTAGCTCATGCCTGTTATCCCAGCACTTGGGAGGCTGAGATAGGAGGATCGCCAGGAGTTCGAGGCCAGCCTGGGATAGAGAAACTCTGTCTCAAAATTAAGTAAGTAAATAAAACATTTTTTTTAAAAACGTAAAAAATATAAAGAAGAATCAGTGCCAAGGTCCTGAGTTCAATCTCCAATACCAGTTTTTAAAAAATGTATACAGATCTGAAGAATAATGCCTATTTTTATACTTTTTGAGTAATGGAATGAGCATTTTTCTCTGTGAAACACCCCCCCTCTTTTTTTTTTTGAGCTGCCTTTTCTATCAATTACAATTGCAGCTTGTTTTTTTATTTGCTTTTTTAGTTTTTTTTTTTTAACTCTTTGGAGTAAAGTCTGTCCAGCCATGGACCCATCCACCATGCCATCCCTCCATGCACCCCAGGATCTGTGGAATGGGTCTTCCTCGACCACGCACTGGGTGCCAAGTGCCAGGCCAGACCCTGATGGTATCACTTAGTGTGGAGACGGGAGGTGCAGGTGACAGTTTCTCTCTGCTCCCTGTGTTTAGATCGCCCTCCGTCCATCTCACCCATGTGTTCCCTGCTGATGTCTCTTCCCAACGCTCTTGTGTTCGTGGCAGACGCCCCTCAGCCCCCCACGGAGGACACCTACCTACGATTCGATGAGTACGGGAGCTCAGGGCGGCCCAGGAGATCAGCTGGAAAGTCCCAAAAGGGCCTCAACGTGGAAACCCTCGTGGTGGCGGACAGGAAGATGGTAGAAAAGCACGGCAAGGGGAATGTCACCACCTACATCCTCACGGTCATGAACATGGTAAGCGTGGTGAGCACGGGCCTGCCTGGCTCCCCATGGAACCAAAAATTCCCTGCCAGAATTCCCACGGCAGACATAGCGGCCTGGTTCCATGGCGACTCTTGAGAAAGCCATCTTCAAGGCTACATGTATTTTGCTTAAATTGAATCCCGTGCATTTATATCTATGTCTGATTGGTTCCCCTCATGCAGCTTTGCTAATTTGAGTTTTTTATTGGATTTTACTTATTCCAACAGGTTTCCAGCCTATTTAAAGATGGGACTATTGGAAGTGACATAAACATTGTAGTGGTGAGCCTCATTCTTCTGGAACGAGAGCCTGTAAGCGGCAAACTTCATTTATTTTTTCATTTCTTCTGCCATTCACCATCCCTTTATTGAATGCTTACTATATGTAGATCCCTGTATTAGTCATTAGAAACATTAACTGAATATGTAATAAAAATTTAAAAATATATAAAATATTATATAGGTCTTTCAAGGAAAGTGCATTTTGTCATAGATTTAAAGATCAGTTGAAATTTTGCAAGTTGGAGATAATTAGTTGTTGCAGGTGGATGCACAGAGATATTTTGAGAATACACAGAATATTGTCGGGAAATTCTTAGAGTAAACCCAGCAACATCTTAGGTTCTGCAGAGAATAAATGAATATTTAACAGCTCTTGAATGGGTTATAGTCGGGTGAAAGACACAGGCATAGGGCAAATTACAAAAGTGGAACACATAATAATGTGTTGAATTGCCTGGTGGTGCTTTGCAGTGTTTTGATGTGTAAGCTGTATTTTTCTGAGATAGGGATTACCAAACAGGCTGTTAAATCCCCTGCGGCTTTCTCTCTCCATCTATTATCCCAACAAAGCTAGCACAAAGCAGGGAAAGCACAAAACACAAAATACACCTAATGGCCCAGGTAGTAGGTTTGCTAAGGATAAGTACTTGACAAATTTGTCTTGCAGTTGTAGAGATAGAAAGGATGTATATTGTTTTGGAGACACCTTTGCTCTTACCCTACAGTTCATAGATAGTTGCAGGACAAGGAAGCCAGAGGCACTTTGATGGACTGATACAGCTCTTGTCTAGAAATTATCAACTTTACCCAAGTCAATAGTTTTGACAAGCAAACATTTTGAGAAAGTGTTGTTAGGAGTAAATCTTACTTTGCCCATAAATAGTCTTATGCCTATTTGTTTACTCATTCAGTGATGGTTCACTCTGTTATTATTCATTGATTGATAAGTGTAGTGTCCCACACCTTTTGCTGGAAACTTGACATTAGAGGTAAGTAAACCATCGTCACTGATAAATCATGCTATTGTGAAGAGACTATTAAACTTTATCATGAATTTATTATTATGTTGTAACAGTGCAACAGTTTTATATTGGTGGTACCTGGTCACGTGAACCAAAATGTTCCTAAGTGATTTTAGATTATTCATTGTAGAAATATACTTTTGTTTGAAAACCACATCTTGGAAGCTTTGCAGTTGTTTTAAAAATTATGACCATTGACCAAAAATGGATTGTGTTCCCAAGTAGATCTTTTCTCTCCCTACGTTAGCTCAAGTGTTTTGTACCACTGACTTTTCGCCCTGGAAACGTGATGTCTTTGTGTTTGACTTTATAAGTGTAACCATGTGATAAAAATCACATTCTGACTTGTGTGGGTTTCCCATAGGGAGGACTGCTGATCAACCACCACGCAGATCAGTCTCTAAACAGTTTTTGTCAGTGGCAGTCTGCCCTCATTGGGAAGAATGGCAAGAGGCATGACCACGCCATCTTACTCACCGGGTTTGACATTTGTTCCTGGAAGAATGAGCCATGTGACACTCTAGGTATGGTATGAATGGACCCTGCTAGCTAGAAGCACAGTAGGGAAATTGTTCCACAGATGGGTGGCCACGTATCTGAAGAGAAATGGGCTGGTATCCAACCAAGCCATAGATTGGCAGTGCTCCTTTGGGAAGGTTCTTTATTTTGAAGACTCTGATTCTTTCATGTTTATACAGAGCACATACGGAGTAAAAATGGTATCCTTTAATCTGTGCTGTATTTTGCAATATATCCAATTGTACATGGTAGGAACTTGATCATTTTTGATGAGTTGATGATTGTCTAGATCACAGGTCAGCAAAGCTTTCTCTGCAAAGGGCCACAAGTCTGTTACAATTATTCAGATTACTTATATGAATGCAAGCAGCCATAAGTAATCACAAATCAATGAGTATGGCTATATTCTAATAAAACTTCACTGACATGGAAACCACAGTTTACTGATACAGCTGGAGGTTCAGACTGGTAAAATTTGGGGAGAGCTGAAAATGTTTATATGATTTACCCCTATAATTCTCTTCTTCAAAGTGCTTTCTAATCCCTTAAAATATACTCAAGATAAAGGAGACTGGACTTTATAAAACTTTTTTATATGCTTCAAACTTTCTATAATGTCTCCATTATGCCCTATAAAGTAAGTCCACTTCAGTGATTTGCTATTCATCACAGTCTTCAAAAAGTACAACCATTCTGGGAGTTGTTCCATGAGAAGGAGTTTTAAAATTCATTCATACGCTTTGTGCAGGGTATGTAAAATGATATTTAATCGCCCAGTACATTGTTCAGGTGTTTAAAAATTTCTGAGGAGGCAATTTTATCATCCACTCAGAGATCAAAGTATAAGGAAAAACTTAGGAAAATCATATAACCCCAAAATTCTACCAGGTATCTTATAGACCACTCATATTTTTAATTTTAAAGAGAAAGCAGAAAAATTAAGAAGCAAGCAATCAAAAAACAACAAAAGCAAACTGATAAAAAGCAATAGCAATACATGATTTCAAAACATGATAGGAATTTAACAATGGTCATTGTATTGCATATTGTTATCTTCAAAATTGTTGTTCAGGTTACCAGATACAGACATGCAAGACTGATCAAACCATATAATTTCCCTTTGAGCAATTTCTTTCCCTTTTACTGTATCTATTGTAACTTTGGAATCTTATGTACTCTTTCAGTTTCTTACACTAATGAGACAATACGGTGTTTACACATACAAGTCTGATTTATTTCACTTATGAGCATGGTGTCTAGTTGCATCCATTTACCTATAAAAGCCTCAAGTTTATCTTTCTTTGTGGCTGAGTAGTACTCCATTGTATAAGAATGGCTATCTTTTTTTTCAGTTCTTAGTTGATGGCATTTGGGTTATTTTTAAGATCTGGCTATTACAAATTGTGCAGCTGTAAGCATGGGAGCATGCACATTGCTGTGGTGAGAAAATATCCAGAAGAGGAATAGCAAGGCCAAATGGAATTTCTGATCCCACTGTTTTGAGGAATCTCTATACTGATTTCCACAGTGGTTGCACCAGTCTACACTCCCACCAGCAATGCAGGAGAGTTCCTTTTCCCCCACAGCCACTCCAGCATTTGTTATTGGTTGATTTCTTGATGTTAGCCATTCTTTCTGGAGTGAGATGATATCTCAGTGTTGTTTTAATTTGCATTTCTCTAGTGTAGGTCACTCAATTTAAGCAACACATTCTAATGCAAAGAGCTTGAGCTTTGGCTTCAGCGTATTATGCTTCATTTCTGAACCGAGAATTTGTGACCTGCAGTCCTGGGCAGATAGACTTGCTCGAGTCTCAGCTCCTAATCTGCAGTTAGCTGCACACACTAAACATACATAGAGGCACAGCACCGTGTGTTTGTCAACCATTTGTTTAGTGACGATGGTGATGACACCATTGAGAAGTAGGTGGCGCCACTCCTGATGTGCACCTTTGTGTAAGATTTCCCAGTGCCATCACATCTTGGCAGTGAGTAAGTACAGTTGATTCACAACTGTGAACTGAATGCCACATGAGTGGCTCACCTTGTTCTTCTAATTATTAGGACCTAAGTCGGAAGGAAAATGTTCACGCAGTAAGGTGGATCAAGAGTGACTGGAGAGCTCACTAGAATGATTTATTTTTAGTGCTGGGGATCCAAGTCGGGCCTTGTGTAGGCGAGGCAGGCATTCTACCATGGAGCTACAGCCCTAGCCCCGTGGAATGAGGTTGCGATTGCTTTTGAAAAGAGGTAACTTTGGGGAATGAACACTTTCCACATTACAGTGAGTAGGAGAAACAAAATCAGTGTAATGTGAGCAGACCCCTAGGCCTTCCCTTGGTTCCAGCTGTAGACTCAGACCACAGTGTGTGTTATTTTGGCAATAATGTTGTTAAGTATTATGTCCTGGGGTAGCCATTATCTGATCAGTTGCTTTGAGTCAAATGATAAACTTAGGCAAGGCGTATAAATCTCCTGTGACTTGCTCTTCTGTGTGTAAAATGTGGATAACAATTTGCCTACTGACCTCCTTGGCTTGTCTGGAGGAACAATTTATGGCAACATCCAAACATTGCAAAAGTTATAAAGTGTTGCTTTGTGATTACTTTTATAAATACTTTTAGTATTCACCTGCAGTACATTAATTGCATTAATACATTAAGAAAAAATAACTGTAGGGAGCACGTTGAGGCCATGAGAACTGACCGTGTGTGTGCGTCCTCTTTGGTTAACCCATGACCTGGTCTTCCCACAGGGTTCGCGCCCATCAGCGGGATGTGCAGCAAGTACCGAAGCTGTACCATCAATGAGGACACCGGGCTGGGCCTCGCCTTCACCATCGCTCATGAGTCGGGCCACAAGTGAGCGCGGCTTCTTGATTCACCCCGTAATGAAACTGCCAAGCCACTCACTGGCGTTTCTCTAGGGGCGGTTATGGATTACTGCTGATCTTGGTTGGGTCCATACTCTCAAGTCTTTGTAAAGCCAAGAGCTAAGAGGAGTTCAGAAGCCCAAAGTGTAAAGAATTTAAAAAGGAAATCAAAATACAACAGGAAACGGGCAGCTAGATCTTCTGCAAATGGGAAGGGAATCTAAAAACAAAGGGAAAAAGAGAGGAGAAGAAATAAGATACCTTAAGTACATGTACTTGTTCTCTAAGATGACTGTAAATATTGTGTGCTACTGATATGCACTAATAATGAAAATATTTCAAAAAAGAAGTGCTCAAGAAAGGCCATTTCTTGTTCATGCCCCAGCTTAGGCAGCAGTGTGTTACACTGTGTTGCACTGTGGACTGCAGGTTACTTAACCTATTTTCTGGTCTTTCTTTTGTGTTTTGCTTCAGCAAAGATACATTTTGCTGATTCTTTACACTAAAGAATGAATCCTGGAGACCTATCTGTTCCCAGAATGCTTTGGCATGCTGATGTTTTAAAACTTTTACTAGACATACCAGATATTTTTTTAGTTGGTTACATTCTGTGTACTTAATATTCTTTCAACTGATGCTAATAAATAATTTGGGAGAACAGACTTAGAAATTAGAAATGGGAGAAATGAGGTTAATTCGTTTTACGAGGCATATAATTTGATATGACGACATTACTACACAGAAGTTTTAATAGTATTTGACCAGTAACAGCTGCATTGGGATAAGCATACTGGTTTACAAAATGACGATTTTGGGGGGCAATTCTGTTTGGATGTACCGATTTGGGGGGGGGAGAGCACACAAGCACACACACATGTGTCTCTTTTATTCACCATGTAATTTCTACATGTTCAGAGTGTCCAATTCAGTTCTGATTTAAAAGCAAACATTACCTGTTCAATAACCATAATGTATACATGGATACTTTGGTTCTATTATGAGCTAAATTATCTTCAGAAAGGGTGAATCCTAACCATTTCTGTTATGCAGTGATTTCTTACTACTTTATATCTGTACATCACTACTCTCTTAGGAAGATATGGGTGGACCAGTTTTACTACAAAAATAGGTACTAAAATAGCCATTACACAAAGCTCTTTTATACAGAGTGGGAAATAAAGTATCTATGTACATGAAATACATTCCTAAATTTGTTTCACTAGCATGAAATCCAAATTAAAACCCCTCATTTTTCAAATTCCTCGCTATTGATAGATAAATTCACTTACAAATTTTATTCCGGGGTCAACAACAAATATTTTAGATAAAGAAAAACAAAACCATTTTTCCAGTAGAGTGGAGGAGACAGAGGTAGAAGAACAAATGTAAAATACATGTTAATGGTCACCTTTAAAACCTAGGAAATTCACTGATGGGACCCCAGTATACAGCTGTCCCTCCTTGCTTGCCTGGTAAATTGGGGGAAATGCTGGAAAAATGGCTAGATAGTGGTACATGGTTCATAAAAACTCACATCTGTGATTACAAAAGGTAGCTCTATATGTAAATGAAATCATATTAAAATATTTCCATAGACCTCTTACCTGCCCTTATGTCTTTAAGTAATGAGATTAATAATAATCCAAACTGTGCATTATTTGTAGAGAATAGACTACTGAAAATTATTTTTAGTTGCTAGGACATTTTGCAGTGAACTGAAACAAATTGAGATTGCTTAAAGAAATGCTTTCAAAAAATGGTTTCAAAAATTAAGTTTTAAATACATTCACTATGGTAAGGGAATTTAATTATAATCAGAGGTTGGGATTTCTAGCTAGTAAATTGATCATCACTGGAAATAATGTGTTTGCGTCACAGCAAACTTGCATATGGGCAATCCGTAACTAGCCTATGATTACCTTTTCTCCCTACCTATCTCTTACTTTCTGAACTTCCATACCATTATTCTAGCACTGGTGGTGAGAAAAAGTTGTGCTATTTAAAATTTTTAAAGTTTACTTAATTCTATCCCTTTAGGTTTGCTTAGAAATCTTTTTATTTTATTTTATTATTTTGGTATCAGGAATCAAACTCGTGACCTCACACTTGCCAGGCAGTCGCTGTACCACTGAGCTGTATCCCTGGCCCACTTTTGCTTAGAAATCTTGACCAAGATTTCCTAGCCTTTCAAATGTGTAGCACGACCGGGTGTGGTATTGCACACCTGTGATCCCCACACTCTGGGAGGCTGAGGCAAGTTTGATGGCAGCCTGTTTTACATAGTGAGTTCAAGGCCAGCCTAAACTACATAGGGGGACCTTGTTTCAAAAAAACAATAAATATGTAGCAGATACACCATCCTTTGATGTCATCACCAAAAAATAATATAGTGAAATTTTATCATTCTTTAACATGTTGTGGGTGAATTTGGGTATGGTGGAGCTTGCCTCTAATCCCACAACTCTGGAAGGCTGAGGCAAGAAGGTTGCAAATTCAGGTCCAACCTGGGAAATTTAGGACCTTCAGAAGACCCTGTCTCAAAATATAAAAGGCTGGGAATGTAGCTCAATATGAAACTCTTTGGTACCAAACATATACACGGAATTATCTGCTTGAAATATACAAAGTTTAGAGCAACTCATTTTTGTTTTTCTCTTACAAGGCCAGTTACTGTTTCGCGGATCCATGCACTCGCAGGGCATCTTTTGGCGAGGGCTGCTTACGGTGTGGACCGTGGGTTCCCACAACTGTGGCTTTCTTCTGTTTCAGCTTCGGCATGATTCACGACGGGGAAGGCAATCCGTGCAGGAAGGCTGAGGGCAACATCATGTCTCCCACGCTGACCGGAAATAATGGGGTGTTTTCCTGGTCTTCCTGTAGCCGCCAATATCTCAAGAAATTCCTTAGGTAAGACGGGTGACAGCCAGGGGGCCGTTGCCAGCTTTGCAGTGGTGACACGCAACAGTGTTCGATCAGTGTGGAAACAGATAGTAGAAATACCTGTTGACAGGTCAGTGAACAGAAAGGTGGGCAGGTTCCTGTGATGAGGATGATGGTGGTGACATTGTTGTTGTTGAAAAAATGAGCCAAAGCCAACACTTAGCTGAATACTCTCCACCCATTGCTGCCTTCAGTCCTCATAGGAGTGCTGTCGTTGCTAAGGTACTACAGCTGGTGAACTGGGCAGAAGGCTCACACCGAGGTCTGTGCTTAGTCCAAGGTCTCTGCTTCCCACCCTCTCTCTCTTGACTTCCACAGACCACGGAGTATATTGTCTTTTCACTGTGACCACTTATTTGAATCTGATCAATCAGATTGTCTTAGGAGTATCTTTTGAAATGCCCCAGTGGCTTGTGTATTTAATGAGTGAAAGATTCTCATAACTATTTCGGTTTGCATGACTCCAGGGTGACTCTGTCCAAAGACATGTAAAGCACAGGCGGCTATACACGGTTCTTTCCATGGCTCAGAACTCCTAGACTGCATTAAGAAAAATAGAAGTTATAGAACTGCTGTTGGGTTTATCCTAAACAATGCTCTCAAAGTTGATTTACATGTATGGAGGTAGAACTTTTGAATTCATGTCAACCCACACAACCACTTAGGTCCTAATTCCGTGTCCTTTTTCACTAGGTATTAGTGAAGTCTCTTTGGAAATTGATGCTTTTTAACCTTTGGGATTCCTGTAAATATATAGTATTTTTAAATGTTTGGAGAATTAAGCAAGATCCATAGGCAAAGCAAATTAACTTACAGAAATCCACTTAAATGATGCCCAGAGGATAGTAAAAAGTGATAAATCTTTGGCTAATAATAAACTTTGCCAGTAAATGTTATTAGTTTCAGATTCATTATTTGGGGCCTGAAGTTAACTTTTGTGAGAATGGAATTGATAAGTATTACAAATCTGGATCAACTTGCCATAGATTGGATTCTAGTTATTAGTATGCTATAGTTCAACGCTTTGGCACAGTGATGCTAATCACAGCAGCTGCTAGCTTTGCATGCTTTGCTGTTTTTAATGTGTTACAATTTCTCAGTGGATCTATATACCAACTGTGTGGGGCTCACTGTCATTAGTGAGATGGATGAGTTATCAATTTTGTTTTGGATGCTTGGTCACTAGGCCTCCCATCTGGCTGACCACAGGACTACCTTTAACCCTCTATAGTAGTGTAGTTCCATTGTTTATGTAGACAGAAGGCACCAAGAAGATTTATACCATCAGGACTGATTTGTTCTCAACATGTCCTAGACAAACGTAGCTTAAGACAGATTTTTTGCTTCATGCCTCAGTGTATTTTTTCTCCTCCTTCTTTCAATAACTTCTTTACTTTTGTTGATGAGGCTTATTTGACTTCTGCCTCACCATCTGTATAAAGCATAGCATGATTTAAAACTCCACAAAGATAGGAACTGCCTCTGTTTGGATTATTTTGTGCCTTTAGTATGTAACCAAATGTTTACCACGCAGTAGGCAATCAGTAAAAATTTATGAAGATTGCTGAACAAGACTGTCAAAGGAAGCTTCTGACTGTTTACCTTTCCCATCTCCAATCCCAAGCCAAATCAGTAGGACACCTAGAACTAGAGTTCTTTGAAATGCCTGTCATTTAGGAAAAAAGTGCATTTTGACTTTCAATGTGTGCCTATTTCTTTAACCACATTCTGTTTTACTTTGTATGGCTGCATGCAGAAGGGTATTGTTTTAAATGGAAATATCACAGATTAGCAGAGTAACGAAGGTGCTTTATCTCTACAGCACACCTCAGGCTGGATGTCTAGTGGACGAGCCCAAGCAAACAGGACAGTATAAATATCCCGACAAACTGCCAGGGCAGATTTACGACGCAGACACACAGTGCAAGTGGCAGTTTGGAGCAAAAGCCAAGTTATGCAGCCTTGGTTTTGTGAAGGTATGTTTGCTTGGGATTTCAAACTTACATTAAAATTCTGCAGTGTGTCTGTGTGCCTACCAGAAGGATAAACATTTGGTTTGCTGGGGGCAAAGGTCAGAGTCTGGGTTATCTAAAATGTCAGCTGTTTGGCATGATAATTAAGTGGCAATTTTACTGTCAATGAATTATCCAGGCTTATTCCCCATAGACCATGCCTGGTTTAAATACCACTTACTACATGCTTGCAAGGAAATTCCTTGTTAGATGAAGACTTTATCCCTAGTATAAATCTAGGAATAATATCTTTTACCTACTGCTAATCATTGTTTTTGTTCTCTTCTTATTCATATGCTATTTTAATGTAATTTACTTAAAAATGATCAGCCCAAAATGTACAAATGCCTCTCATAAGAAAACTATTATGGATAGCCAAATTTTTCTTGTATCTAAATATTAAAGGTATATCTTGAGAATTCTTTTTTAAATTTTTTAAATTTTTATTTTAAGGAGAATAAAACCAAAATAAAACAGAATAAAGCCAATCAAAACAAACCAGTGTAAGTGACAAGGACTTCAAAACAATAGGAAATCACCAATGGCTACCATAATGCCATTTGTTGTCTTCAGAATAGCTGCAGATACCTTCAGGCATAGTTGAGAATTCTTAATAAGGTTTTTGTTGGAGAATGTTTAAACAAGAAATAAGAAAATGTACAAGTCCAGGGTGTAGAAATGAATGACAGAATCTTAGTTGTACTTGGTCAAGATTTACATCACTGACAGCATTATAACCTCAACATCACTGACGAGTAGTCATTTTTAAATTGGTTTATTCCTAGTATTTGGTGAGAAATAGCAAGGTCTTAGGTACCTGGATCCAAGAAAACTGTAGAATAATGGTACCTGTTTCCCCTCTATTTCTAGTACCCTCCTTTCTCCTTTCCTCTTCTTTTCCCTATAATTTTTCACTACCATCCACCACCACCATCACTATCACCAAGAAAATCACCCAACAGCAGTAACTCTGCCATCAAAACAGCCCCGCCCACCATCACCCTAATATATCACTGCTACCAGCCCCCACATGACCACCATCGTCACATCCACTGCCGAGGACCCTCACACACCCCACTCTCCCCCGAGGGTTTCTGAGTGGGCCTCTGCTCCAATAAGGCACTTCCACTTAGAGATCTATTTTACCTGAACTCAACCTTCAAAAAATCTTACAAGTCAGAATTATTACCACGTTTCTCTTGGATCTCAGTGAAGATAATCAATTTACCCAAACCCGCAAAAGTTTTAAATGATGAAATCTAAACAAAACAACATCCCATGGATGGTAAGCTTTCTTCTCTCTCCTAATAAATACAATTTTCCTACTCTTTAGTCACTTACAACTACCTTCATTTGTTGGGTGGTATTTTGAATTTTTATTCACTTTCTGCTTTTCTACAGATCACTCACTTTCAAAAATATAAGTCCGTGCCTAGGAAAAAAGTATATCAACAACTTAGGTTAAGTATGAGATTATATATTTTAATGTACTTTAAGTGTTTATCCAGATCCACAAAATTTTATTTTGGACATCCTCTCTGGCACATGGGCTTTGTTTTGGCAAATGCTGGCATATTGTATGTAAAAAATAGCAGAAATGTTCCTGTTAGCCGGTAACAATGAAGCTCTTGGCAGAAGTAAATAGCCGGAATTTACATTGCTGGAAAAAGTTTGTCTCCTGACTTTCTCTTACCCACTTCATTTTGGAGGACTCATTGATTTTCCTAATCATCAATGAAATATTACACATTTGCTAGGGAGCATATACAAGCAGAGGAATTTAAGTACGATTTTCTGTGGAATTGCACAAGAGGTTCCTAAAATTACTGTCACTCCTGCAGAATCACACACTGAACGCACACTTGTGTGGTGCCTGTTCTATGTCAGATGACGCACAGGGTTTAAGGAGCCATTCTTAAGTTATAGATCCTTTCTTGGAACTATATCATACTCTTAAACGGTAGTGTCTCACTCTGCGGGTCTTCCCAGCAAAAAGCAAAGGGGAAAAAACATTCCAGACTTGAAGATGGACGAAATGATGAAGGGCACAGAAGTAGGAATGTCTGGAGGGGTAGGGGGGATTTACCTAAGAGTGAGAAAAAGTGTTTAAGATAACGAGAAGGTAAAATGGAGAGGTAGGTTGGCTGGTGGATCTCGGATGTGGATTTTGTTTTGGCCATAGCTGAGTGTTTGATGTTCTTCCTAATTCTTGTTATAAATTGAAGCATGATCCCACCTCTGAGGATCATAAATACAATAGTTCTCTGTCAAGCTCTAGTAAGGAAGGGTTTCCAAAATGAAAAAAAAATCCCTATTTGTCTTGCTTGGCATAAGCAGCTGCAGGAGAGAGCTGACACTTGCCTCTGGAGCCTTTATTGTCCTAATCATTAGTTTCTCTCTTTTTCCCCTAGTTTGCCTGCCCTTTTCCTTTTTCCCTTCCCTTCCCTGCCCTGCCCTTCCTTTCCCTGCTGTTCCCCTCCCCTTCCTGACCCTTTCCTTTCCCTCCTCATTGCACTCTGCCCTGTTCCACCCCACCCCATCCCATCCCCTCCCTTCCCTCCCCTTCCCTTCCCTTCCCTTCCCTTCCCTTCCCTTCCCTTCCCTTCCCTTCCCTTCCCTTCCCCTCCCCTCCCCTCCCCTCCCTCCCCTTCCCTTCCCTTCCCTTCCCTTCCCTTCCCTTCCCTCCCCTCCCCTCCCCTCCCCTCCCCTCCCCTCTCCTTCCCTCCCCAGTAACATTAACTCCTCTCCATGCTTCCTGAAAAGGCAAGCTTGGGTAATAATGAGAAGTAGCAAAATCAAACAACCTAATTCTCAAGTGTCCTCTCACATCAGCACCTAAGGTATGTCAGCATCACCTGAGACTTACTGGAAGTGCACCTGCTCAGGTCTGTCCCAGGCCTGAGGGATAGGGGACTCCAGGCGGAGGGTCCAAGGATCTCTGTCTCCGGCTGTTGTTGATTCTGATGCCATCTTGAGTTTGAGAACCACTGAATTCAACAGTTTTCAGTCATTATACCTTCTGTGGATTTTAGAGTTAGACCTGGGTCTAGGATGTGACTTCACTTCATAGAAGCTTGGGCAAATGACTCAAATGTCCCTCCATGCAAGTGTCTACATCTGTGAAGACAAGATGATAGTAGTTCTTCACTGGGCAATCTATGAGCAGTGATCGCTCTGTAGAGTTGTATCGTTTATAAATGATGAAGCTCCCTTTGCTCTCTTTTATCTTCAGTGTCCTCACAACCACTATATCTAACTGTTCTTTTTCAGCAGCTGCCTTGGCAAAAAGTCTGAGGTTGGTTATTTTTGTCAACTCTCTTTACCTCCTGTCAAGTCCCGGTCTCAAATTTTCTGTGTGTTTGGCACATCAAGCTTGTTCTTTGTTCCTTCCAAAACTGTTTGTATTCATCAGTGTTTTGTTGCTATAACAAAGTACCTGAAGCAAGTTACTTATGAAGAACAGGTTTCTTTAGCCCACAGTTTGGGAAGTTTCTGGGCAGCATGACACTGGTGACAGCTCAGCTGCTGAGGGCCCTTCTGGCGGTGTCACATACAGGAGTATGTGTGGAAGCAAGCAGTTACAAGGTATGGTTGAAAGCTATGGCAAATGTTTAAAATTTCACTGCCATCAACCTAACTTCAATGTCTAGTGCCAGGTGAAAAACACATCCATTCTGCACAATTCCATTTAAACAAAATTAAAAAAACATCACTACTTCATGATGATGAATATCACAGCAGTGGTTGCCTCTGAGGGAAATTTTGGGGTGAATGTTCTGCCTTGATTATGAGGTGTCTGCAGTGCCATGCATATTTTGCTTAACAAACCTCCTCAAACCATATGCTTAAACTGGGTGCATATTATGGATATTATGATAGTAAATTATACCTCAGTAATCTGGATTTCAAAAGTGGTACTGGTGACAATTCCTGTTGATTGTTACTTTTTAATTGTTAACTATTGCTTTTGAATCAGTGCTTAGTTTAAAAGCTCCGGCAATGAGGTTAAACATAAGTGGGTTTAATTCCAGGTCAGCCAGAGACTGACCTGCTGAGGCAGTTTATTTAATTCCTCTTGAATGGCAGCTTTCCTAGAGGCATGTTGTGGAAAACGCTTGTGCGTTTCTCACAGGGTCGTTAGGATGCTGAACAGTAATCTAGGCAAAATCCTTTGCATTAGCACTACTTTTTAAAAACAGATTTTGTCAGATTCTTTGCTGTATTTCAACTGAAGACATTTCTTAAGGACTTCATGGTCTTTATGATCAGTGAAGATGATTTGTGACTATAAAGTCAACAGTTTTCATTCATATGTTGATTTCCTGCAAACTCTTACAGCCTGCTTGGCAGCAAGTATTATTCTAGGTTCTTAAAATACATCAGAGAAAAAGCAAAGACCTTTCCCTGTAATGCTGATATTTCAGGGGAGGAGGGGCATTATACATATAGAATCTCACATGTTAAAAAGGTGTAGAGGAGGAAGGAGAAATTGGGGGCTTTTGGGGGGTGGGTGGTCACATTCTTAATAGCAAGGCCATAGGAGGTGAAATTTAGGTAAAGGCCCATGTTTGGAGCACGTTGAAGGTATTTACAGAGCAACTTGAAGCCAGCATGGAGAGAAAGGGGTGAGCTGGGGGGATGCCAGGTCAGAAGGATCAAAGGGACCCAATGGCTTGTAGCTGGGTAGGGCGTAATAAGGACTTTGGATTTTTCTCCAAGTGAAATCTGATGGCACCACGTGGTTTTGAGCAGAGATGCGACACAAGCCAGCTGAGCTGATGTGGAAGGTTCCCCCTAGCTCAGTGCTGTGCAGTGGAGATTTCTTTAGTGATAGGAATGCTCCCTGCCATCCAAGATGGTAGCCGCTCACCACATCTCACTCTTAGGAACGTGAACTAGTAATGATTGAAGGAGTGAATTTTTAATTTATGTGTAAGTAATCTACATCCCAATTTAGCAACAAGTCCCATGTGGCTACAGGCTACCATAGCGGACCGTGCTCAGCTGAGAATAAATTAGACAAGAATGGAGGAAATTAGAGCTTGTTGACTTGGGGTGAGGATAGGGGTGGCAGCGAGCCACCAGCTCACAGGTGGCTATGAACAGGGTAGTAGCAGTGGATGTGATAACCATTCAGATTTTAGAGCTATTTTGGAGGTAGAGCCAATGCGATTTCACCATCTGCTGGCAGATGAGAGCGCGACGGATAGACAGACAGAGACAGAGACAGAAGTCAAACGTGACTACTGGATTTGGAGTCTGAGAGATGGGAGTTTGGAGGTGACATGAAGTGAGACAGAAGGCTGACTATAGAAAGCTTTGGGGACTGATGAGGAATTTTACTTTGAATGTGTTAAGTTTGAGACGCTTTCGTAAACTTTGATTTCCATACACCATGAACATTTTTGGCATGGCAGGCTTTATCTGAAGGGTTGTCGACATTTGGTGGAATAAAGCCAGAGAACATGGTCAGTGAGCCACAGGACAAAGGTGGACAGTGTCGAGTCTGTTCCCTTAAAACTGTGGGTCTCAGTCAGACAATTCAAATCCAGGCAACACGAGACCGCAGGGTCTCTGTCGTTCGTTACTTCTTTTTCTCTTAAATTACGACTTAAGTCCAGGTAATTATAGATAAGGAGAAGTTAGTTGAATGTGCTGGAAGAAAAAAGAGCGGGGTACAAGCAAAAAAGTGCAAACCCCCCTTTGTGTTTACTTTGAAAGGGAGCTTTCTCAGAGGGCTTGCTGGTCGTCAAAACATATAGTTGGCTATAATTACATTTGACTTCTGCACTCCACCACAGAAGAAATAACATGTTCATGCAGCCTGTCTTGTTCTACTCTGCAATCCTGGTGTTTTTTGTTTTGCTTTGCTTTGCTCTGCTTTATTCCCCTGGCCCTCTCCAGCCTTCCTCTCAGTCCTGTGGCCTGGCACTGGCCATAGCGTGGAGCCTCCTTTCTTTGGTCTGCCCTAGGGTCATTTTAGAGGCAACCATATAGGCTGTGGGTATGGGTTATAGCTTTTGATGGCTGTGAGGAGGATAGAAATCTAATGCAGAAAGCTTTTGTAAGAATGCTTTTAACTGTTCCAAAGACTGAGCACCCCATTCTCCAGTTGAACCTAGACTGTTATCTGTTCTATATTAATTATATCATCTGCACCTTTATCTAGAAGCATACAGACTTGGGAGTTGGCCTCGGTCTAATGTAACTGACCCTTCCCCAGAAGGATGTATCTATTCTTCTTTGGGAGCTTTGGGGTCTGCAGATGACTTTGTGCTCATGTGTGGGGGCTGCTGGGGTGCTAGTGTTTCTAAGCATTGATATAAATGTCCTCGCATTCTCCTTGGGGGGAAAAATTTTACAGTCTATGAGATGAGAGTCACAGCATATATCTGGTTTCCCTGTTCTCTTAGTTCAACAGAAAGTGTTTTTTTTAATGTATGAAATATTACTAATCACACTTTTGCTGTATTTTCATAAAATATGAAGTGGAATTCTCAAGGAATTTAGTGTCTAGTTAATTGAATTTCTAGAGTTGCATCAAATGTCCACAAAAAGTCATGTTGTCATCTTTCCGTTGGTATTCTCTCCCAGTTGTGGGGTTTACATTTCTACCTCAGTGGCACACAAACTGTTTGCTGATGTCCCATGACCTGCCACTGGTGATATACTTCAGTGTAGCAACTGCAGCTCCTGGACCCGGAAGTTTCCTGGTTCAGTGCCCTTACTTTATAGATGAAGAATTGAGGCTTGGAACAAGAGAGCTTTCCAGCATCTGTTCATGGCAAATCCAGGTCCAAAGTAGTGGTAAAGGGCTACGATTCTGGAACCGGGTTAGTTGGGGTCCTGATTGCTCCTTGGCAGCTCTGTGACTTTGCAGCTTTGAAAGTGTTGGTAGCTTGCTTAGCTAAATGAGTTTCGATTAATTTAGACTCTCAGTGAGTTGTTTTTTCATTAGTGTTGTAATACATTTCCATGAACTTCTTGTGACTTAAAACAAATTTATTATCCTACAGTTCTGGGTGTAAACATTTGAAATGGCTGAAATCAAGAAGTCAGCAAGGTTGTGCTCTTTTGGAACCTGTGAGGGAGAAGCTATTTTGCTTACCTTTCCTAGCTTTTAGAAGCTTCCTATATCCCCTGGTATCTTTAGAACCAGCAGCATCCTTCTGAGTTCCCCTCAGGCCACTATCTCTCTGGTCTCCTCTTTCTGTTTCCTCTTTCCCATTTAAAAACTCTTGCAATTGAGCCCACCGGGAAGATATAGGGTAGTCTCTCCATCTCAAGATCACTTGATTTGCAAATTCAATTTCATGTTCAATATTAATTTTCCTCTTTGCTGTGCGAACTCACATATTCATAGATCCTATAGACTAGGATATGAACATCTTAGGGACCGTCATTCAGCCTACCACAGTCTACAGCAATAATTAAGATAATCTCATAGGTCTTGAGTGAGAGTTAAATTATCTAAGTGACTGAACATTGTAATAATGGTGAAGAAAGGGATGAGGATACTAACCAATATTTTGGAGAACTACGTATGCCAGGCCAACTAATTACAGCATGCATTATGACATTTCATACTTGACAACAGATATTTAAAATCAGGTGCTAATTTTGTCACATTTTATAGGGGAAACAGAAAAATGCAATAAAAACAGAGGAAACTGCAGCATTAGTGGCTTCTATAGCATGTCCATGGGACAGACATCCGGGAATTCTAGGATAAGGATTTGAATCACAGTGGTTTATTCCAGTCTTGGTCTATTTAGCTATACTGGTGTCAGATCTCTTGGGTCCAAGCCATGTGTTCTCCTAATTAACTATACTACCTCCAGCTGTTATGCAGCCATAACCATACAGATGCCATAGAACCTTCCTGATCCTACGCTGTGAGAACCTATTTCTTCCAACTTCATTTGCCTCTTTCTGATTACTTTGCCTGATTTCAGTGACCCCACAGTCTAACATTATGTATAAAAGCTTTGTAGATGTTCATTTTCCTGGGCGCATTACCCTCATCAGTACCTTCTTTTCTTTCAGGACATTTGTAAATCACTTTGGTGCCACCGAGTGGGCCACAGGTGTGAGACCAAGTTTATGCCGGCAGCCGAAGGAACCGTTTGTGGCTTGAGTATGGTAAACTGCATCCTTGTTAGTTTTTAGCTCTGGGAATTTGAAAGTCATAGAACTCAACCAGACTACTTGTCCTGTGACCTTCCAGTGCAGTGCCTTGGCCGCATATATTTTCTGGCTTCTCTTTACAGTAGCCAGCATTATGAGGCATGCTGACCGCTAATGTAACCCAGCTCGTTCAATTATTTAAGGGTTTTATTTGCTCCTCTTTTCCCTTATTTTGGATGGAGGTTTGAGTCAAAATATCTCAGTTTCATGCAGCGAATCGGTTTCATTGCATCTCTTGTGCCTCTTACACTTGACACTTTATGCAGAAGCCTCAGAAAGCAGGTGTCCCCACGAGCAGTAGTGAAGTGATTGTCCCTCCAGACCAAAGCCCTGCTGTCTGCTCACAGGAGCTGACTTGGAGCTTCTGCCGTGCTCACGGATGCCCATCACTTACAGTTGACAACGCTGAGAAGAATCCGGGCCTCTCCCTCCACTTAAGCACTCTCATATGTTAGGTTCTACCATTCTTTCCCAGTAAAATCTTGAGGGCAAGTAGCACCGGAAGTACCAGTGAATGGTCCAGATTTGGGAATTCATTCGGAAGACCAAGATAGCACTCCTGTCAATGATGACGTTTGCAGGTTTGCTAAATCTCCATTTTTGGCACCCTACTGGCAGGTCAAGCCTGTGCTGAAAAGGGACATTTAAAGCCAATCCAGTTCCTCAGGGATCTTTTGAGTGCTGAATATTGGAGACAGGATACTCTGGGGATGTAGAGATAAATATAACTCTGGCATGCCCCTTTGAGCCTTCATAGTCAAATCAGGAAACCTCTGCAGAAGCCAGGACCTCTGACCCTCTTCAAGCACTAGTTGCTAGCAGGGCCCAGAAGAATGAAGTGTGAGTCATGCTTTGGATTAGGAGCATACATAGAATAACTACAGTGAGTAGGTACAGCAAGGTGGACGCTGGAGTTTATATAGAAGTTCTTCAGTGGAATAAGAAGAATAAATACCTTTTTACAGAGAGGTCAAAAATAGAAGCAAATCACAGACCAATACCAGCCAACAGATATCCAGCAAGTGAATGCTTCCTGGTATTTGTTAAAGCACTTGTTCAGTGTGTTTTAGGAGACTTCTGATGTTTAACTCAAAATATTTATTTTACAGATAATAAACATTTTAGAAATCAGAGAGTTATATACAGATTTTAATCAGATATATTGCTTCTAGGAAATTACCATAAGGATTCTCACTAAACATTCTAATAAAATATTAAAGCTGTGGTGATACAAACAATGAATTAATGGGTTCATTGAAAACATAAATACTGTTCAAGTCATTTTTGTTTTTGAAGCCTCAAGGCTTAAAACATGCAACTTGAGAATTAATGGATTTTAAAAAGCAATAGCATTAAACCTGCAAAGTGTTGACATAAATACAAGAAAAGATGGATATAAATAAAGCAAATAAGTAATGTATAACATAGATTTGAAGTTTCTTACATAAATACATCAGGGATCTGAGTCCATGGGGATTAAACACACCTGCATTAGACTTCAGTAAGCAGAGAAGAAGATAAATTAAGCCAGAAGTTTAAAAGCAAATGGTCTAATGTACTACTACCTCCCCCATTATTCTCTAATGTGTGTTATAAATTAAATGCTGGGAGAAAGCCCTACACTGTAAGGTCACCCTCAGCAGAAAGCATCCTGGTATCAGTTCCATCCATCACTCCACTGTAATTTCCGTATCTATCTCTATCAGTTTATCAATTCATTCATTCCTCTGATTCTTTCTTCACCTGGAGATGCAGTTGGCACTGTCCTAGACTGCAGGCTCCTCCAGGGGCAAGGCCATGTTTAGCTCTGGTCCCCCTGAATGCCAGGTGCAGTACACCAGCTGCTTAATGTTTTGTTTGTAACCAGAAGAACCCAAATGTGTCCTTCCCCGGGCTGTTCCAACCTCTTGTCCTTCAGTGATAATGTGTACTATGAATACTTAGTGTTTAAGGACATAAAAGCCAGATACTTCTAGCTCAAGGTACAAAGAGAACAAAAGTTGGTGGCTGGGAATGTGGCTCAGTGGTACAGTTCTTGCCTTATGTGCACAAGACCCTGGGTTCAATCTCCAGCACAACCACCACCACCACCACCACCAAAAAAAAAAAAAAAAAAAAAAAAAAATTCATGCTACCTACCAGAAGGTACTGGTGCAGAACAGCACCATTCATTTGGATCCATGGATAAAAATTAAATGTGCTCAAATTTAACATTTACTTTTATAAGTAGAGTTTATATACACATGTGATTATTTGCATGTCTAGGTGTAAATTTCTGTGTATTACTACTTTCTACACTGAAAAGTCAGAGCAAGGCAAGCCATCATCAACCTAACCCAGTCTAGGATACGCCCTGAAATATTAAATAGTCCAGTTAATTGATTAGAACAGATCTTAAACAAAAAAACCCATCTCATTTCCAGAAAAAAGATTAGCTTAACATTAAGATATATTGATCAGAGCTGGGGATGTAAGCCAGTGCTACTTAGTGTACTTGTCTAGCAGGCACAAGGCCCTGGGTTCAATTCTTGGTGCCATTCCTCCTCCTCCTTCCCCCCCCAAAAGATATATTGATCAGAAAAACACCTCTGAGATAAGAAGTCCCATATGAGCTTTGGCTACTGAGCTAAATCTGGTCTCTGCTACTTAAGCAGGGGTGTGGGTAGCTTTGTGCCTATGAGCATGTTAGTATTTCTTCACTGAGTTTCCCTCGTCTGTATAACTGGTATCTAACACCTAAAAGCTTTGCAAAGATGATATGAGATTTTAAATATGAAGTCTCCCCACCACTTTTAGGACAGAAGCAATTTAACCACTGCTAGTGATATTGTTACTGCCTATTATTTTTGTTGTGTCTCAGCCCCTAAGCTCAGACCAGTGGAGCCCAGTGATTACTGGTAGGGAAGATGCATGCTTATGATAGACAGAATCCTCAAATGACCATTTGCTCTCCACAAAAAGTTCCCAAAAATGTTATGTGATTTCATGCAATCTCTGAAATGGCAATTAATCCTGGGGAAAGCATTTAAAAAAGAGAAGAATTAAGCAGCACGTGGCAAGAATATGAAGAAAGGAAGCAATATGTTACCCTAGACACACAATCAACAGCCAGGAAGCCAAATGTATCACGGGGGAAATGTGAAGATTTAAATGTCAAAACACACCCCCCCATAATTCTGTAACTGAACTCCCACTGCCAACCCTTTGTATCTAGTTGCAGAGGCTTTTAGCAAAGTCGCAGTTATGCTTAGTCATGCAGAACTTGCTCATAATAGAAGCACCACAGGAGGGAAAAATAGAATGCAACCCCAAGGAGGAAGATGGCCAGCACAGCCTGGAATTCGTTGCAAAGCCATAGTAGTGGAAGGATAGCACAGAAAACATCCTGCACTACCTTGTACAGATGCTGAGCAAATGAAAGACTCAGATCTAACTAATCAAAGATGTTAAAAGAATGCGAAGGCATCAGAGTTTTAAGGAGGAAGCTTTCATATGGACGGAGCATCAAAGGGTGTTGTACTCAGTTTCATGAGCAGTACTGTGTAGATATTTTGAATAAACAAAAATCTGATGTATATATAATTGCATCTATTTTTGTGATGAGAAAAATCATTCAAAATGATCAATTCTTGGTTGATAGCTTAAGAACTATTCTTGCTTGAGTAAATGACCTGAATTATCCCCTAGGTAGCACTGTCTGTGACAAGAGAGACTTCGCTGTAATTTTGTCACCCTCTCTTGGCTACTGGGTGGCATGTTGTCTGGATAGATCACAAAGCCTATGACACTTCTCCAGATGACAGCCTGTCAAAATGCAGGTGGTGTATCCCAGTGCTTATAAAGCCCAGCAAAGGCAAGGACTAGTCAGAGTGTCACACAGCGTCTTGCTCTATTACTGTGCCTTTGTTTCATCTCCCTGTGCTGTCTGGAGTGGTCTCTGACAGGAAGCGTATCATGTTCTTTCCACAGTGGTGTCGCCAAGGCCAATGTGTGAAGCTGGGGGAGCTCGGACCCCGGCCTATCCATGGCCAGTGGTCCGCTTGGTCAAAGTGGTCAGAATGTTCCCGGACTTGTGGTGGAGGAGTCAAGTATCAGGAGAGACACTGCAACAACCCCAAGTAAGATTCTAATAGAAAGTTGGTCTAACCTTGACTTTCAGCCTGGGCCAGGCTATATCAGTGTTGTTCCCATCCTTTTGCTTAACAGCAGTCAACTATGTTTGACTGTTTGCATATAGAGACTCTGTATACTGGGGAGTGGCAGGGTGGATAAAAACCAAAACCCAGCAAACAGAGCTACTCTGTGTCTCTGTGATGATCAAAGACCCCAGGTTGGTTTGGCCAGGTGGCTCATGGTCTGTAATCCCAGCTTCCAAGAGGCTGAGGCCAGAGAAACACAAGTTCTAGCCCAGCCTATGGAATTTGATGCTTTAGTAACATCCTATCTCAACATTAAAAAAAAAAAAAATCAAAAAGACTTTGAGGATGTAACTCGGAGCAAAGATCCAGAACTCAATCCCTGCTACCAGAAAAAAATGTTTTTGAAGTCACAGGTCAGTCATCACAGGTGAGTTACCTTCTTATAAGAGCTCTACAGCACACAGTCAGACGCTCGAAATATTGCAGAACACGAAGGCTTGGCTGCCAGAACCTGTGTGTGCTTCCCAACTCAGGGGCTGGAGAAATTGAGATTTTTGCGATGCAGAAGTATGCAGCAACGTGTGTGGACAGATGGACCTGACTTTTCAAGAGAAACCAGGCAAGAAATAAGGGTGAAATTTTCTGGTATTGGAAATTTGAAAACTAATTGTTTTGATTTTCCTTAAAAACGAAACTCAAAGCCACTGTGAAAGCTAAACAAGTCATCCATGGACTGAAATTCCTGGTGGTCACCCCATCAAGTCACACTGCCATCTATCCTCAGTGACATGAAGGTGGCTTTAGATTACTCTTACATGCTCCAATTTATGTGTGTGATAGATATTTCCCATTTGGAAAGCTGATGGAGAAAGAACTACACTTTCAAAACAGATTCTGTGTTTGCTCCTTCTTAGCTGTGTGGCTTCTGCAAAGTCACCTGAACTCTGAGCTTGGGTGTCATAGGAAACGGAGATGTGTCACCCACCTCAGATGGTTTGGGCAGGATTTTCCAGGCAGGAGTATGCCTAGAAAATAAAGACTAGGGAGCATCTCTTGGAGCCTCTACAATAGGTTCTGGAGCCTGTGTGGTTTTCAAAGTCCTTACCTCAAGCTCACCCAGGAGGGCATTGTTATCGGTTGTGTTTAGATGTGCCCCCAAAGCCTCATGCAGTCATGGGCAGGAGGGGCAGGGTTTTTTGGAGGTGGCTGGATCCAGAGTGTGTGATTGATTCATAGTGTAGTGCTGGGGTTAACAGAGCTGAGATGAAGACTGGGTGATTGTTGGATCATTCTTCTGAATGGGTTGGCACCACCCTAATCCCAGCAGTCTGGATAAGACAAAAGGCAGAATGAGGCTTGTTTCCCCACTTTCTGCTTGCAATGGCTGATTTTGCTGTCTTCAGTCACCATGAACAGTTGCCCCTCTCCCATGTGACACTCTGCCTTGGGACCAGTTGATAATGGACTGAAACCTCTGCAAACTGTGAGCTACATAACCTTTTCCTCCTTTAACTTTGGCATTTTGCTTCAGCAAGGAGAGAAAAATAAGACAGGCAGTGTCACCTGGGGTCATCCCAGAGAGGCAGAGGGAGAGGCAGAGACATTACTGACACTGTGGGACCTTAGAGGGGCAGTGGGATGAGAATAATGTGGCAGGGATGTGGAAAATTGGGGATTCAATTTTACCACACAATTGCAATGGTGGCACAAATGTTAAGGAAGACTCTGAAGCCACACTTGGGTTTGCATCCTGGGCTTACGGTGCAGGCTTTGTGGCTACTGGCAACAGTCTCCGCTGCCAACGTCCTTAATTATGGAAATGCAGTAATGGTGGCACCTAACTGGTTGAGGTAAGAGTGGTAATTTGATTTGAAAAGCACCTGACAGAAGGTAAGCAGGGCATACATGTTAGGTAAATTGAGAATTACACTAAGTAAGGAAACTTTGAAACAGACAGGATTCTTCCTCTGAGTGAGCAGAATGGGCTACATAAAACAGCTCATTTTTTTCAAAATATAAGGGATACTTTAGGACTTTTTTCCCCCTAACATATAAGGAATACTTTAACCATGAATTGTTCATACGTGTTGCATGGGATGTCTAGGGTCGATCTAGGGTTTTTCACCTTTGGAACTCTTGAGTTGAAGAATTCGAGGGTTGGAACTTGCCTGTCACAGTTTGTCTGGAAGATTACAGGAAGGCTGTCTTTCCCACTAGGTGCCAGTAGGATCACTTCCCATCTCTCTGCTCTCCAAACTGTAGCAACCAAAAATATCTCACCTTGTCCTACAAGGCCCAAAGCTCACTGGGGTCTCATCAGACCCAAGTGTTGGGTATCATGGGGCGAAGAGCTGTGATGTGTTCATGATTTATTCCATATTATTACAAACCACCCCTCTGATACTTTGAATGTAGCCCATGCTGTGGATAGGCTTGTTGAAATCATTGTACTATACATTTTTGACATGTATTTCATGGATCTGGTTTTCATATATCACAACATTTTACAATCTCGGTATTTTCCCAAGAAAGAAGTAGATTACCTAGTTTAATAGCTGTGCTGGTAGAGTGCATGCATAATGCCCCTTGAGAGTTAAATGAAAACCTTTCTTGTATCTGTGGGACTGAGAACCCTTCTTATAATAGGGCATTGTTCCTGGAAATACATCGTAATTTAAGAGAAGTCTTATAAAAGAATTAATCACTAAAGTATTTCCACTTGGTGCATTTTGTCCCATTAAACAAGATTAAAGATAATCAGGATACTGTTTACTTTAACTATGCATGAAGTCACAAATAAAACAAGTAGATGATAGGATATCCCAAGACAATTGAATTAATTGTTCTCTCTGCTCTTAATTTGCTTTATTATAATAAAGCTGGGATTTTTTTCTTCCTATTTCAAGTTACTGATTTCTTGCTTCAATTTCAGCCTTTGGTTCTGCTCATGTCACTCAGCCTAACTGTTCTAATTTTCCCATCTGGAAGCAGTGTAGGGTTTCTGTTTCATCCAGTGACATTTTTCCCCAGTGTTTGTATGTATGTATGTATACACACACACACACACACACACACACACACACACACACACAATGAGTGGTTTATGGCTGATTTATGGATTTCCCAAATTTTTGTAGCTTTCCAAGCATTTAAAGGTTACCAGTGTCAGAATGCCCTTTGTCGCCTCCTTTGTCCCAGGTTTATAGTGGGCGATTTTCATTGCCCCCAGCCCTATTTTATACTGAGCCTTACTATGCTTTAGGACTCTCTCAAAGTACTTTTCCAGGTATTTGCTCCCAATCAGAACCAATACATGGATTGAAGCCTCATCAAAACCAGTTATTTTCCAGTTGGGTAACTTGGGCACCTCAACACTACAGGAGCCCCTGCCTGGGCTCAAGGCAGAGTCACTCCAAAGTCCTACACATGTACCCTAAAAGAGTCTAAGTAAATTCTGCCATGAAAGAGCCTAGGTAAATTCATATAAACTCTGTTTGAGGAAATTAACAGTGGCACACCAAGGCATTCTAGAAATTCCCCTCAAACATGAGTCTATCCCAGCAGGAGTTATGTGCCATTTATTCTAATGCCAGTTGGCAGACGGAGTTTGGAGGAAAGTCTGGCTCCAGGGCAATAAATGAACCAAACTTGTGACCTCTTCTCCTACCAGTAATTCCTGAATTTCAGTAATTCCTCAGTATAAAATTCAGGTTCCAGTACCAGAATCACCAGAGTACTTTCCAGAAGAAATATTGATTTTATTTCAAAATGCACAACATATTTTCTTACTGGGAGAATCTGCAGGGCAACAGTCCGCGTGTGTGTGTGTGTGTGTGTGTGTGTGTGTGTGTGTGTGTGTGTATGTATCATTATTATGATCACTGACCCAAGTGGTCATAATGATGATATAACCAGCAGACTGCATAACCACTGCGGTCAGGATGAATTAGGCACAAGTAAACACATAGTGTACTATAAGAAAAAAATTAGGTCCTTAGGACTTTGATATTCTGCTTCTATTTTTAATTTTTAATGATGAAGAATTTGCACCAAGAAGTATAATGGTAGCATTTTCTGTTAATTTATCCTAACTCTAATATTTAAGATTGCAGAAAAATGTACCTGAGTTGGAAGATTTAATTTTTAAAAAGCTCAAATTCTTGGCAGTCTTTATTTTTGATTACTATGTTCCAAATGAAAAAGGAGAGATGAATATGTAAAAATTAGTGTAATATCCAGCACAACATGGGTCCTTACTACAGAAGCACAAACTATTTAAAAAGTGATTGTTCTGAAACCACCTCAAATTCTTTATATCGGTGGTCAAAATTGCCCCCATTTTGCAGATGAGGAGATTAAATAAAACTGCCTGAAGTCAACCTGGAGACATATTTAAAGCGCAAGGCTACCTACTTGGGAAAGGCCAGCTCCTAACCACTGCACTGTTTCCCTTTGCCTCACGCTCTTCCCATGCAGTTCCCTATTGCCTAGCTCAGTTCCAGGTGTGCCTGAGTAGGAAAAGAATCCATAGATAAGTCTGAGGTTAGCTCTGCTTTGTCTCTTAGGTCTGTCTGACCTTCATTCTGCAAAGTTTCTGAGCCCTAAGAGTCATTTTTCACTTCTTCATAAAACAAGGCACAGTTCGATGATGCCTTTGGAGGTCTTTTCCATGCTACAGGTTCTACAAGTTGACAAAGTATCACACTATGGTCCTTTTCCACTTCATTTAATATGTGCAATCCACAGGAGGGTTATTTGTTAACTCTCAGAAAGTCTGAAATGCAACAATTAGTTTTTAACTGGTCAAGATGACTGGGAATCTTGAGGCTATGATAAAGCACTCTTAAGATTTTCTAAATGCTTTTTTTTTTTTTTTTCTTTTTTTTTTTTTTTTGGTCTTTTTCCTTTTTACCGGTACCAGGGATCGAACTCACGACTGCCTGCTTGCAAGGCAGGCGCTTATGCCACTGAGCTAAATCCCCAGCCCCCTAAATGCTTTTTAGATAAGTTAGGAAGTCTGCAGGGATTTGCTCTAGGACCATGGCTGCTGCATGTTTAAAAGAGTTGCTCCAGAATGTTTTGAAATAATATAAAAATCCCATTCTGGCAGCACAGCCCTTCCTGTTTCTGCTGAATCCATCTTAACATGCAGTTATAGGAGGACTTGGTAAAATACGCTGAAGCAAATCCAGGGACGTTTTAGAGAATACTTGTACTTCCTAGAGAGAGAAGGAATTTTAATCACAGAAATTTATTAACTTGGCTCCTCCTTTCATGATCCACGTTGGGAATGAATTTTTGTGTGTGAGGATCCACCATGAGAAAAGGAGAAGTCACTGCTCCATGCAGAGTGGACCGGATAACTGGGTAGTAGTAACTTTCAGTGTGGTTGTCATCTTTTCTCTTTGTTTGACTTTCTGGCTTTTGCAGATCAGTCTGTCCACTCCGATCTTGAAGAGCTCACCGTTAGATCATAATTATTTATGTTCTAATGGGATTCCCTCTTCTGGAAATCTATTTCCCATTGCTCTTGGCAAGAAAGCAGTGGACCACCTGCAAAGTTAAGAAGTGATTATGCAGAGGAAAACAAGGCAGTATTTTTCCTCATTTTAGGATCAAGTCAAATAAAACCCATGAGTCAGACAGCAATCAGATCACCATCTTGAGGACCAGCTGAGCTGGATTGGGGAGCATGGCCAATAGGAGTTTCACACGCCCACATACACTTTTTACTAAGAACATTCCAGTGTTTTTACATGTTCCTCTGACACACAGGCAATCTGATGCATGTCAGGGATATTTTTTCATCAGTTACTAAGGAAATTGCCAGAATGTAAAATTGGAACAGAAATAGCAAGTAAGATTAATCACACATGGCATTTCCAATCAGTGAACCTTGCTAACAGCTGTCTAAAGGTATGTTGAAAAAGATTTTGAGGCCATGTCCAGCTTCTGAAAAAAGCAGAAAAAAAGAATTCTCTGATTGATTAATTATGTCTACTCAGATGCAAGAATGGATGTAGAAGGTTGTATGCTGTGTATTCTCATTTCTGTGATAAAGGATCATCTTGATTATCCCTCCGTACCTTACTGCACAGGAGTAACTGAAATGTTTGATTACTAGCCTCAAAATTCTTGAATTTTACTTTTAGGCCTCAGTATGGTGGCAAGTTCTGTCCGGGATCTAGCCGTATTTATAAGCTGTGCAACATCGACCCTTGTAGTGCAAATAGCTTGGATTTTCGAGCCCAGCAGTGTGCAGAATACAACAGCAAACCTTTCCGTGGATGGTTCTACCAGTGGAAACCCTATACGAAAGTGGAAGGTAATTCACTCTCTGTAACACTCAAATAAATGTCGCTGTGTTGATACTAAGAGGGATGAACGACACGGAAGAAATTGCTGCAGATGTCTAAGCATGCCATTGTTTACCTTTCATTCCCAGACTCGTTCTTGTTCTTTTTTTTTTTTGTTAATTTCCATAGGTTTTGTTTATTTTTCCAATCTCTCCATCTAACACACCTTACAAGAAACCCCTTTTCTCCTATATCCATAAGGGAAAAGATCCCTTATGGATGTAGGAGAAATGAACTTAAATTTCTAAACTCACTTTGACATTTCAGCAGTTTTGCCTCCCAGGGATGTTAGTTGAAATGGGTATGAACCATCCAGACTGAAAATTCAAGAAGCCACACATGCCCCATAGAGACACCAGCCTCAGCTTCTGCCAGGGCAGATGGTACTGAGCACAGGGAGGGGCTGTGTGTAGAGAGTGTGTGTTCATCCATGCACACTCCCAGCACTGAATACCAATTGTCTCCGTACTAGGTTCCTCATGCTTTTTAGACCTTAACGTTCTGGCTTGCACTTCGCTTTTTAAATTTGTTTATTTTTAGTTTGGCTAATCCTCAAAGCATTTCTTTTAGTTGCAACATGAGAATCTTACATACTTCCTATTGTCTTTGTAGAACAAGCTGTCACTGTTCTAGTGGTTTCCTTTACACTGCTGTAGCCTCTGGATTGATCAGAACTCATCTGTGCCAGACTGAAGAAGGATCCAGGAGAATCTCACCTGAACCTATGTAGAGAGGAAGTGATTCAAGGTTTTGATTATTTACAGACTATTGCTATGCAAAAGCTCCAGATGAACCTGTATGTCTGCTTACCTCAGCAGGAAGCTACAGTAATTAGAGAAATCATTATAACAAATGGAGCCTCCAAGTGAAAGGGCAGGAGAGCACAGCTTTCCCCCCCAAACCAGCCAGGCCATTTTAGGAGTATTGACCAGGTTTTGAGTCAGAACTGTTTCTTCAAAAACCCAGGCAGAGATAGACACAAATATTCCGAAAACTGTGTTGGGAAGGAGGGGTGAAGAACCTGTGGACATTTATGATTGAAAACAAACTAATTCAAAAATTTAAAAAGATATTCAGTAGAAGAGGCTTGGAGTTTATTTGGAATTACTTCAGCAAACAAAGTTAATTCAAGGGCTAAGAATCTCTTAAATCTTATATTACTTTCTCAGAGAGCCATTCCTTGCCAGCCATTTTATTCGTTAAATAAAATGCTGTTTGTTCATCTTATTCTCCATATTGGTGCCTGTTAACAGTGCAAGCATTTTCTACCGGTCAATTTATTATTCTCCTCCGCACAAGAGTTTGGATTCCGCAAGGGCTAAGTCTTTGTCATCTTGAGCATGCTCAGATCTTTTGGGTCTTCAGAACCTAAGAACACTAGTTGGCATCTATTGAATGGCCATGACTTTTGAAATGTGTGAATAGATAGATGCTGCCCTTCCAAAATGCATGTGTGTCTCATTTGTAAATAGTCAGCTCTGCATCCCTGAAGTTACTTTACCAGGGAATGAGTAATTACACAGCCAGGACTGTGCACAATAGTTTCCAGCAGATGATTCAGTGGAAGAGCTGGAGTTGCTCCCAGTTTAACCTCGGAAGATTGACTTTTTCTTGGTTTTATATCCCCATAATTCCACGTTTCTTACCTGTGGTTCCTCCTCTAAAACGATGTCACCATTCCTTTCACTTCTGTATTCCTTGCTTTGGCTTCTGAGATGCTCTGTGGTTTTTCCCGCATTAGCTCTTTCTTGCAAATGCTGAGTTTAGGGAATCTGCGCTGTTGTTCTCCGTTACATAGCTTCTGTGTTGGAGACATAACGAGAACTTAAATAAATGTGATAATTTTGAAAATGGTTCCTGGTTTCCGTGTTCTTACATTAATTGTATTGCAGTTTTCCCTAAGTGGAGAGCTTCCTGTTTCATTCACTCTGCAAGGTTCGGGGAGCTCTCTTTGCCTGGGAGAGTAATTGGAGAAAGCATCCTGGGCCGAGTTAGGACCTCACAGCCTCATACAGAAAGACAGCAGAGTCCAGGCCCTCAGGTCTGTCTCTTCTGCTTCTGACACTTGTACCAGAAGAGACTGATGAGTGGAAGGGCTGTGACATTCCTGAAGTTAAGAAAAACAAGGGAAGACTTTATTCATAAATGTAATCTTTCTTCTATAGTACTGAGATTTTTTCCCCCTCCTGTTATTCTTCTCTCCTTCTCTTTCTAAAGGGGTAGTTCATAAACTTGCTTGGGCATCTCTGCTGGAGAAGCCAAGCTTCTTAGAACTTAATTCCTGGGAATGATGGACAAAAGACAGTGCATCTATATCATCCAATTTCCAAATCTCATATGCAAAAATTAGGCATTAAAAAAGCTGTTTTTTTTTTAAGTGCAGTGGAGTGAAAAACTTTTAAAACCCACCCACACATCTACATATTTCAACCATAAGATTTAATTTTTTTCATGTTCATGTTTTGACTTTGTCTTTTGTTGAGTTTTATGAACCATGATTGTTTGCAAACTGTTTACCCGTTTGTTGTAAACGGTTGTTAGGGAATCACTCAGCGTCACCTAAGTGAGGTCTCCTGTGAGAAACATCATCTGGAATTCTTGGCCAAAGAGGGTTCTTTCTCTTGGAACTCATTTCTGATAACAAGAACTCTGTAACATTATTTTTTCTTTTTCCTGGGATACCAGAAACTTCCGAGGGACCTAATAGTCAACAAAAGTTACTTTTTCAGCTCAGAATATAGCTCAGTGGCACAGTGCCTGCCTGGCAAGCACAAGGTCCTGAGTTCTATTCTGGATACAAGAAAAAAAATGACTTTTTCAGTTTTAAGGATTAGTTTATTTGCTCCTTATTCATTTGCATAATATGATTTTATTCTATATATTTTATAACCATTATTGACCTTATGCTGTTTTTCAGAGGTGCCTAAGCTTTTCTTTTTTACAGACATAACTAAATGTATAAAATAATCCAGTCCTAAGTAAAGGCCATCAACCTATGGCCTGACCTGTATTTTAACACATTCATGATGGGATTATAATTCATATGTCTGGCTTCGAGGTATCTCTGAATCACTAGTGGTACATGCATGATTGTCCCATTGGGTTGCACTGGACAGTTGTGCATGTACTACTAGTTACACATCATCTAATGGAACAGGCATGTATGTACCACCACTGTTCATGAGGGTGGGCACGCAGCAGTATCCCTTCATTTATATATTATCGATGGCTGACCATAAGACCTCTGCAGTTTTGGAAAGTTCACTGTCCGAGGGAAGCTAGCTACAGAACCCACCAATCGTGTGTATGTTAACTGTTGGTAAGGATTTAAAGCTTTATGTATTAATATGAAATCAGTTTTGTGTGGATTGTTAAATAACTTTTATTAGCATTGTAGTGCTGAGAACTGAATCCAGGGCCTTGCCCATGCTAAGCAAGTGCTCCAGCTCTTAAATGGTTAAATGAGATTCATATTTTTAAAAGCTACATGCAGATGTCGTTTCATGCACACACACAGATATATGTACAAAACTGTACATAACATTGTCCATTGTGATCAGGATAGATTCCTGAGTAAATTTAATGGATCCCTTCACAGTTATATAATTTTTCTCTTTGACTTTGTTCCTTCTGTCTCTTTCTTCTAGAGGAAGATCGATGTAAACTGTACTGTAAGGCTGAGAAATTTGAGTTTTTTTTTGCAATGTCTGGCAAGGTGAAAGATGGAACTCCTTGTTCCCCGCACAAAAACGACATCTGTATTGATGGGATCTGTGAGGTAAGAGAACATTTCCTCCTGGGATTTCTGGCTGCACTTAGCGTTTCTAAATGTAAATGTATCTGTGAGGAGTGTCAGGAGATGTTCTGTCCAGGTGACAGGGAAAACAAACAGTATGTTCCACGTGGATGTGAGTGCCGTCCCTCACATCCCCACTGATTGTTCTGCATGGTCCCTGTCCAAATTCCTTTCTTTTTTACTCTATTTTCCAATGTCATACACTGAAATAATGACATATTAATATAGTAGATGTAACAATTATGGTAAACTTTCTGATTATGGTAAATATACTCTGTAATGTTAGGACCTTACCGATATATTTTGAACTAGTGCGGCTGTTATTTCTAGTTACTTTTCTTTTCTCCTTGAGGACTCACTTTTTTCTTTTATTTAAATTTGACTGCAAGCTCTTTGATCCTTTTAGGGTGTGCATCTGTGTGTGTGCATGTGTGTTTTATTGTCTACATTTTTATGGTCTAGTCAGGGAACTGGCCTGAAAAATGTCACGTGATATTAGAAGAGAGCTCTTTTATTCCATCATCACAGATATGCTGTATCTCGCTCAGTCAGTGTGTCTAATAATGGCAGAGGAGGGAGCTACCATGCTTACAAGCTTGAGACTGTGGTTTAACCATAAGCTGTACTGCCTCCCCGTGTGATGTTCTGCAAAGATAGCAAACCATGTACCTCTCAGTGATTCTTAGCCATTGGTTTCACTGATCTTTGATGACTTTCTAACCCTTTCCCCCGCAACAGCCAGTGGGATGTGATCATGAACTTGGCTCCAAAGCCATTTTGGATGCCTGTGGTGTTTGCAAAGGTGATAATTCAACTTGCAAATTTTACAAAGGACTGTACCTCAACCAGCATAAAGCGAATGGTAAGAGACACTGCCACTTCACTGTCATCACTGCTGAAGCAAAACTTCTGCAGCTGAATGTGTTAGGGTCACATTAATACAGTAACTGAGACACAGATGGTTGCTTTTGTCATTCGTGCCAGAACAAGGAAGAATAGAAGAATTTTTAGTGAGATGCTTTGTCAATACATTATAGTTCAGCGTTGTATTGAGTGAACGCTCTTCTACTTTGTGGTTTAAGTATGACAGCTAGTCTGTCATATGCTGCAAATTCATTTGTTAAAAAAGAAACATAAGCTGGGTATAGTAGCACATTCCTGTAATCACAGCTAGTGGGAGGCTGAGGCAGGAGCATGGTGAATTCCTGGGAAATTTAGTAAAACCTGGGAAATTTAGTAAAATCTTGTCTCAAAAGGGCCAACGATAGCTCAGGACAAGAATGCTTACCTAACATGAGCAAGCCTGGATTTGATCTCCAGGATGGTAGAAAGGGAAAGACATTGTAAAACTCAGAGGATCTGTGCTCACATTGGTGTACAACTATTTGAAGCAGTTTTCTAGACATCTTGAGTTTTCAGACTATTACTTAAGAATACATGGTTTTAAATTTCTTCTAGTTAAGTTAGGAAGACCAAAGAGTATTTTTGAGTTCATGGCTTCTCCTGGCTTTGGGAGGAGAAGAATGTGTCTTCCATCCATGAACACATGCTTAGTAAGATGCAGACTAGGAAAAGTGCATTTTCTTCTAGTGTTTCTATATCTTATAAAATAAAATCATTGCTCTTCAAGGAATTGGACTGAATGTCAGGGATCCAAAAACTCCACATTAAGAAAATGGACCCTTCGTGGTTCTGAGCATTTCTGGTCCCCTTTCTCTAATACACAGTGTAGAATTCAGAACTGTTCTGTGCTTTCCATCTAGAATATTATCCAGTGGTCATCATTCCCGCGGGTGCCCGCAGCATTGAGGTCCAGGAGCTGCAGATATCCTCCAGTTACCTTGCTGTCCGAAGCCTCAGTAAGAAGTATTACCTCACAGGCGGCTGGAGCATTGACTGGCCAGGGGAGTTCCCCTTTGCTGGGACCACATTTGAATATCAGCGCTCCTTCAACAACCCAGAACGTCTGTTCGCACCAGGACCCACGAATGAGACCCTGGTCTTCGAGGTAAGCCTTTTTGGCTTGTTCATTTCTCTAGGCTTCGTGCCACATTCATTGCCATGACCCCGATTTGAACAAGCTGAAAGTGCTCCAATCTTCTCTGTTCAAATTTGCTTCCCAGTAGGCTGATATTCAAAGTATAAGCAGGAGACGACACCCAATTGGTCACTATGATGTTGATTTTCACATGAGAATGCCATCCTGTCACCATTATGCTGGGTATCAGAATGCCAAAGAATACAGCAGGAATGCTTTCTCAGTTATCCTGGTGTGTCCCTGTCTGTCATTTAGATTCTCCGTTATAGCTGTTCACTGCAGGTCAGCTGGCCTCCAAGGCAGAATTATGTAGGGAAGAAAATGCTTGCTTAGGTGTCAGCTGAGTTTCAGTTATGTTACACCAGTGTGATTTTGTAGGTTGTATTTTCGCCAGAGATAAGAAAAATATCTTAATGAGCAATAATGATAATCAATTGAGTAAACACACCTGCAGATGACTCCACAAGATTATTACCGTATGTGGATTTTCTTTAGCCATGTCTTTGTAAAGTGGGACTGATGGTTTGCCCTCCCAGACAAAGTGACTGGCTTCTGTTTGTAAAGAAGTGACCCAGTCTGCCACTTGCTGAACACATATATCACTAGGCCCTCTTGGCAGTCATTTCAAGCTTCAATTTCTTGTCAGTACATTTGAGGTACAGAACTTACTGTGTAAGTCAGATTTCCGTTCCTGTAACAAAATTCCAGATTCAATTAACTCATAAAGAGGAAAGGTTTTGTTTTGACTCCTATTTTGATGGTTTCAGTGCGTGGTCAGCTGGTCCTGCTGTTGACAGGCCTGTAGTGAGGCAGGGACATGCTTATGGCAGGAAGCAATGGAGAAAGCTGCTTATCTCATGGTAGCCAGGAAGCGAGAGAGAAAGGAAAGGGGTCAGGATCTCTGATCTAAGTGTCCACCACCCCCAAGTGGACCCCAGAGGGGGATCAAGTCTTTAACATATGATCCTTGGGAGACACCTAAACCACAGCACTTGCCAGAATAGGGACTCATGTGTCAAGAAAGTTTAAGAGATGGTCCCAACTTACACTGCTGGGAGAAAGCAGAGGTGAACTGGAATATGTTAGCTACACTAAGTCCAATCTTGTTCTCAAATTCAGGGAGCATCTGATTGATGCAGCTCTTCCTACTACTACTGTTAAAGCTATAATGGTCCCCATCTTCCTGGGCTTGGACCTTGTACTAATCAATTGTAAGCATCTTCTTTCCTCTAAAATAAGACCTAGCTGGAAAGTAATCAGCCTTGAGAAGTAGAGATCATAAAATGCCAGCTCAAGCCGACCTTTGGTGGCACACACCTGTGATCCCAGTACTTGGGTGGCTGAGGCAGGAAGATTGCCATGAGTTTGAGGTCAGCCTGGGCTACATAAGTGAGTTCAAAGCAAGCCTGAACCAGAAAGCAAGAACCTGCCTAAAAAATAAAAAAGCCAGTCCCAATCTGCATATCCTTGCCTTGAGTTGATCTAAAAATTGAATATTAAGAGATCACTGAGATTATTTGATGGGTTTTTCTAAAATTATATATAATATATATTTTATATGTATTATTTATATATATATATATATATATATATATATATTCGTATTCGTAGTGGTAAGGAAAGCATCATAAATCAGTTTCTACAGGGCTTACAACATGCCAGTTTCTCTGTAATCTAGGGTATTTTTTGTTTAGCTACATAATTAATAAAGGAATTTTTAGAGACAGATTTTTTTCCTGCCTAAATTGAAGCCCTCAGTTTATTAGCACTCCCATGGCCATGTACAGCGAGACCGGATAATTCTCTGGACACGTACCAGGCTGCCGTGGTGTTGGTAGTGATCTTTTGCAGCTCTCGACAGTTCAGCAGTGAAAGAAATGAAAATGAATTACTCTCACCCCCAGCCCGTGTGTGGGAGTTTGCGTTCCATGTGTGTTGAGTTACTGGGGTGGGTGGGGGGATTTAAATGACATCTTGAAGTTTCCCTAATGGATTCTTAGGTTGGCCAGGATTTTAGAAAGTAGGAAAGTGAAAATAGCTGTGCATTAAATTGTCATTGAGCTCTTCTGTGTCTCATCCCCTGCGCTTCTGTTCTGTCCCACAATGACCGTAGCTGTGAATCCAAAGGCAAAATCATAGCAATAATAATAACAAATCTCCTTGCTATGAAACTCAGAGTGTTGGAAAGTACGGTCACTAAGATGTCCCATCTAGAGATTCACATGCTTGGGATTCTTCTGCCTCAGTCTCCCAGAGGGCTGGCATGACAGACATGCCCACTACACTCATCCTGTTTTAGAAGCTTACAGTAAGAAAAGAAAGACTATTGGGCAGTAGGATAGGTACAGGAGGAGGAACAGAACATCGTAGGGTTACAAACCATGGTAAAGAGTTTGGATTTGTGCTAAGAACAACATCAGGATCTTACGGAATGAAGTACTTTGAAAATCTTCAGCAGCTGCTGTGCAATAAGTGATTAGAGAGACGTGAAGTCAACTGAGGGGAAAAATAAACTGATCTCCTACAAGATAAGGCTAACAGTGCTGTAAGGTGACAGCAGGGAGCTGGGTGTGGGTCTGCTTGGAAAACTATGGGCTGAGAAGAGAAAGTTGTCACAAAGGTTCCTGTAGGTGCACGGGGTATGGCTCTGAGGGAGCAAGCTGGGTTGAGAAGCCATCTCAGCTGCCGCTGGGACCATCTGCTGGCGTCTTTATCACTGTAACTCTCTGGAGAATGCCTGGAAATCAAGTCAGGGATGGGGGAAATTTTCATGCTAGCCACCTTATATTGGAGACGATCTCTGGCAGTCCAGTGTAGCTATCAACACGCAGCTGAGTGTGTGTTTAGAGACCATCAACGCCTTGGCCCAGATACATGATTCAGTTTCTAAAAACGACTGAAGCAATACACAAGAGGATCCCTTGTTGCCTGAGAAAAGCACGTAAGTCCCGGTGCTCTTTAATAAAGCTGCCTCTTGGGAGTAGCCAAGTAATTGTCATGTCAAGAATATGCTGTGGGAAGAAACTCTTGAACCCTGGCTGACACCACAGGGGAGGGTCACACACCTGGGACCCCTACACAGGTGCCACGGGAGCTTGAAGTGGACGCACACCTGTCATCACTCTGGCATTTTCTCTTGTGTCCTTGCCCTGCACCTGCTCCTGCACACCTGCAGACAAGACAGTATAGCTGACTTTGCTCGTGGCAGTAGGGATGGCATCCTAGCCGCTGCTGTGTCTCTTCTTTTTTTTTTTTTTTTCCCAAAGCTTGCTTCAGCTGTACATTTCCTTCTAGTTCATCGTGTATTTAAATCTGTGTTTGAACCCTATACTCAAAAGCTCTGCAAATTCATTTTAGAGGATAATTTCCAAGTATTACCTTGATTTGTAGAAGCAATCAGAAATTTGCTAAGTGTCTGTTTCCTTGTTTCAAGATAGTGCAATGTTTGAAATTACAACATATTTGAAAAACACCACATTTCCTACAATGCCAGAGGAATATTTGATGTTAACAGAGATGTTTCTTCGAGGCTACCATGGTGTAAAATAAAGCCAACCTCCTCATAGTAGTTATCCAGTAGCATTATTCAGGGTTGAACATGTATTGTGGACAAAGAGTGGAAGACAATTAACAAAAATGAACCATGTGAGATTTCAGGTTCACAGATTAAAAGCACAGACTCTCGACTAATGAGACTTTTTTTTCTTTGTCTTTTTGAGGCAGGATCTCGATGTGTAGTTCAGGCTGGCTTTGAGTTCACTGTGTAGCCCAGGCTGGTGTCGAACTTACATCAATCCTCGTGCTGCAACCTCCTTAGTGCTGGCATTACAAGCATGTGCCACCATGCCCACGTAACTAATGGGACTTGGGGGACAGTTTTTTAATGTCTGTGTGCTTAACTTCCACATCTGTAAAGTGGGAAATAATACATATGATTACAGCAATCACAAGGATAGTTTCAGTGTTTATAACATATATAACATATATATTAAAAATACTAAACCTCAGGCTATATTCATCAAATTGGTGACAAAGGCCAAATTCAGATTGCATAATATTAAAAAAGATCAGTGCTTTAATATCAGTTGATTTCTAATAAAAGTATGGATTTTTAAATCTCTTTTATTTAAAAAAAAATAATTCTGGCCTCAGCAGATATTTGAATTTGCAAACTTAGCAGTAGACCTTGACCATGAGTGGATGTTCCATCATCATCCAGACATGAGACACTAGGTGGCATTACTTCTGTCTGTGTGGCAGGAGACCCCCTGAAGATCAGATCGCATCACACTTGACACTTGGCAGAGGTGGTCCTTAGGAGATGCCTTCGTTCCCCAGAATGCAACAAATAATCCAGCCCTTGAAATTATACTTTAAACCTAAGGCATAAAACTCAAGCTCCTCTTTTGAAGATTTCTAGGGTCTTTTTTCCCCAGAATTTTTTTAAAAAGATGTATCTGTTTCTTCTGTTTTCTGTGGAGCATCAGAGGGTCCAATTTCCCTTCCTTTTGGGAACTCTGTTTAGCTTGAAAGACATCACTTTCAGAGCAATGTAGCTTTGCTGGTTGTGCCAAGACTCTCTGATGCACCACTAAACAAATGAATGCACACACAAATTCTGTGGCTGGAAGAGACCTAGACCAAGAAGCGGGGCTGGCTGTCTCTTAGGGCTTCAGCCTGGCACAATCAGAACAAAGCCCAAACTGTTTCTGATGAAAAATACGTTGGTTTTACTACTCAACCATCTTTGTATTGTTTCTCTCTGCAGCTTTGTTCATGAACACAAAACTATTTCTAGCTTTCACAGTTGTGTCTGTAATTTAATCTTTGCTGTTAAGCATGTATTCTCTGCTGAAAAACCACAGCACAGAATAACCTAAGAAATGATGGAAAGTGCAAAGCCAAGAGACTGAGTTCCTCCTCCCTTTCATCTTTAAACCCCAAAGAGCGCTGGTGTCTGTGCTGATAAA